GGGGGGATGCACCCCAGGACCCCCCAGCATGGCCGGGTTCACTCTGCCCAGGGTTCCTCTTGGGTCCCAGAGCCAGCGTGAGCCTTACCCCCGGCAGGTCCCAGTTCCCTTGCAAGGGGACCACTTACCTTCAAGAACTGGACACGGTGGCTCGCAGCCCTGATGGGGAAAGGGAGGTTAGAGCTCGGGGAGGGACCCTCAAGGGACCCTCCCCTCCAGCACGGGTTCAGGGGAGGGACCGGGGTGACCTTTTCCCAGGAGGGGAGAGCTGGATGCTCTGGGGTGGGTGGGTTTTCACATTTCCCTTTAAGTCAAAGGGATTTTCTTCCACCCATGGGGTCAGAAACCACCGCAGCAGCCCCGGCCCCGCAGCACCGCTGGCTGCTGCACCGAGTTTGCTAGTTCTCACCCCACGCAGAGACGCCGCGTGAGAACGGCCGCCGCACCCATCCGCCCCTGGGAGAGGCACGCGCGCGGTCCCGGCCCCGCGGCGGCGCTCACGGGTACTCGCCTGGTCCCCCCATTGCCGTGCAGGTAGATGATCACGGGGTGAGTGTCAGCAAGTGCCTCCTCGTACCAGCGCTGGTCCTTGCCCCGCGCCTCGGCCCCTCTGCTGCCCGGCACCGTGTGCCTGGGGGGTCAGAGCAAGGTTACCCCTGGGGGCTCCACGCGGTTTAGCCAGGACACCAGCGTAGCCACGCGGCTGTGCCCACCCGGGATGCTGGGGCTGCCCCGCTCACCAAATGCCAACTCTGACGCCCGGCTCGGTGGTGAGGTACAGGCTGATGGTGTTGTTCAGCAGCAGCTCCGGCTGCCGAAGGTCCATGAAGAAAGGGAAGGCCACTGATGGAAAAATCGCAGCCGTCACAGGGGCAACCCAGAAACCCTTGTACCCAGCTGCTTTTGCACGTTTTCCAAAGAAACATGTTATTTTTTTTTTAAATAATTTGCCTGGAAGCCAAGGGCCGCGCTACGGTCGGCTTGGGGAGCAGGTAGGCGAGCACAGCCCTCTGCCACCTCCTCCCACCTGGATTTCTAGCCCCGTTGATGCTATGTGTGCCCAGATGTGTTGCAACTTTAGGCAGTAAACAGGGTCGGCGGCACCGCGTTATTACAGCTTGCAAAACACGAGGCACTGACGGGAAAGGTCCCTCCGTGCCTCCTCTGCAAGCCCACGGCAAAGGGGGGGTTGGATGGGTGCTGTCCCGGTGCCACCCAGGTGCTGGGTGCGGCCCCACCCACGTTTTGGGGACCCCCAGCCTTCCTGGGGGGGGCCCTCTCTCCTCTCTCAATCCTGGGGGGGGCCCTCTCTCAGTTGGGACAGCCCCGGGGCACTCACGGAAGTTCAGGTAGACGAATTTGGTGAGCACAGCAGGGAAGAGGCGGACGAGAAAGGGCACAGAGACGTAGATGAGGAGCAGGTCCAGGAGGACGGTGCGCAGCCGGGGGCGCCAGGCCAGCCGGCCCCTGCAAGGAAGGCACCTTGATAGCACATCCCCTCCCGCCCCAAGGGCTTTGGGGCACAGCGGAGCGGGGTCCCCGTTCCCAACCCCAGTCGTGATGGTTGGATACAGCGGCTTTTCCCCCGCAAGGGCCTGAGGCTGCCGTTTGTGTCCCCCCGGGACCAGGAACTGGTTCCCCACGCCGGGGTTGTGTTTGGCTTTTGGGGATGGAGCCGAGGCGTCGGAGCAGCCCCACCGTGACACAGCGTCATGAAAGGCCACGATCCGGTCCCCCGCAGCCTCACACAGGACACCAGCGGGCAGGAAGGGCAGGGCACATGCCAGGGCCGGGAACTCAAGCCAAACCGGCAACAAGGAGTGACTGATACTCTGTGGCAACACCCCGAGCCGTGGCTGGTGAGACACGGTCACGGAGGTGTCCCCAGCACCGAGACCCCCTGCAATTCTCCAGGGACAAGGAGGAAAGCTGGGAAAGGGGTTCGGGGAGCCCACGGCACCACGGGAGAAACCAGTCCCCAGAGCGATGTCCCCCAGTGACACCAGCACAGGGCGGGAAGCGTGACCACCTCCGGCAGCGTCCTGCCCCGAAGGGCTGGGGGACACATCCAGCCACCCCAGGCCATGCCCTCCACAGCGAGCCGCCGGCCAGCCCTAGCCCCAGCCTCCAGGAGGGAAGGGAAAGCCAAGAGCTGCAGATTGCCTGGCGTCAACGTCTCTTATGGGCTGATGGTGCTGGGCAATGGGGAAACTAGTCCGGGATTTAGGGCAGAGGTTTCTGAAAGGCATCCAAGCACAGCTTGCTCCCTGCCAGCACGTGCCCAGGGTCACCGTCGCTCCTGCAATAGTGGATTTAGTCCATCGCCCGCCCTGGGGAGCGCTGCAAGACGCTGAGAGAGGGTTGCAAAGGGGGTGCCAGGGCAAAGTGCCATGGTCCCCCGGGCACAGGCACCCTTCCCGGGAGGGTGCAGGGTGGCACGAGCCGTGCTGGAGCCACGGGGAGCCCCTTGAACCCCAGTCGCCCCTCGAGACTTTGGTCTGAGCAGTCCCGCTGTACGCTGGCAGCAACGGGCCAGCAATGCCCTCGCAGTCACTGCAGTTAATTATTAGGCGGTGCTCTTGGTCTACACCTAATATTCAAGTGCAGGGGCGAGCGCTCACACCTGCCCTTGCGCAATACCTGCTGCAGGTGAGAACTGACAGGTCCGGACCGGGGTGGGAGGACGTGCCCACCAAGGAGCACCTCTGACAGCTGGCACGGCAACAGGCCACCGCATGGCATGATGGGGACAGCAAGGTGACGTGGGGACACAGCCACAGCATGGCATCATGACGGGGGGGGGGGACACATGGCCGAGGTATGGGATCACGGCTGGGGCAGGGCGGGGCAAAAAGGGCCGGGGGGGGTAGGGGATCCCGGCGGTGGCAGGGGGGCACAGCCATGGCCGGGGGACACACATGGGGTCATGGCCCCAGCAAGGTGACAAGGTTTGGGGACACAGGAGCACGGCCACAGGCGGCGCACGGTGACGGGGGACGCAGCAGGGGACGCGGCCGGGGGGACAGAGCATGGCCACGGCAGGGGACAGGGGAACCCGGCGGAGAAACACCGCACGGGGACGGGGACACGGTCCCGGGGAGCGCAGCGCGGCGCTGCCCGGCCCCGAGTCGCAGCCAGGCGCCCGGCAGCGCCCCCGC